AGTCCTGAAATTTTTCTATTATGTTATATTATCATCAAAAATAGAAAAAATGTGAAAACTCTAAAAATTTACGTATTAATTTAGAAGATCTAACGCATAACACACAGATTACTTTCCTTATAAATTTAAGTACGTTTTTCTTTTCATATTCAATCTTCTTATTTTGATATGAGCATGTTTTAAATTCAAATATGGTTTATTTTTAAATCTCTACAATTCTAACTCTAAATATATAATATTTGAATTCTTATATGAATTTGAAACCCACATATCAAATTCATTTTATTTTTCATCGCCTAAATTTTAGTAAAAAATAACTTTACTTAACCTGATTTAACTCAATTTTTTATATATATACATATATATAATAATGAACATTTGTTTTTTGGGGGGTCATTACTATTATGAATGGAGGAGACTTTAAATACCCTTTGATTGGTCAATGATCAGATTATACACGGAATTTTGTACCCAAAATTTTCGAAGTCAATTTATGAACATACACATTTAATTTGTCCATAATTACATAAAGACTCTTTTATTTTGATGTGACTAATAATTTCACCATTAGATATAAATCAATTATACACAGGTAATGCTGAGAATTGATTCTTGTCAATTCTATAATTTTCGAAATAATTTTATTTTATTATATTATTTAAAATAGTAATTTAATTATTTTAATTCAAGAAATTTTATTCAACAATATAAAAATAAAATATTATAAATATCTACTTAAATTTTTATAAGACAAAAATTGAATTTAATATTTAGTTGGTTAGAAATTATTTTGATAACATATATAATAGCTGTTTATTTAAATTGTCAAATCTATATATATATATATATATATATTTATAAATTATTTCCTTTGAATTAGCATTAAAAAGCAAATACGAACAAATTTGAATTCTGATGAGTGCATGCATATGCATAAACCCAAACGTGGTGAGTCATGTTAATCATGTGTGAGAAAACAGAAGATTTAGGTGTTGATCTGACATTTAATTTAAAAGCTGATCCTCCTTTTTTTTTTTTGTTTTCGGTTATAATTTATGATAATAAAATTTAATTTAATCGTTATAATTTATTAATATAATTATAAATTAAGTTACTATAAAAATCGAATTCAAACGAATGGGTGCATAAATTCAAACATGATGAATCATGTTAAACATGAACGAGAAAATAAAAGATTTATGTGTGTATTTTTTGTTATAATTTATAATGATGAAATTTAATTTAGTCTTTATGATCATAAATTAAAGTTTTGAAAAAAGTTAAATTCAAATGAGTGTATGCATAAATCCAAACGTGATGAGTCATGTTAAACATGTGTGAGAAAACAGAAGAATTAGGTGTTGTGAATGAAATTTAATTTAGTCGGTACATTCCATTAATTTAATACAGACGTAAGTTAAATTTTAATTTTTATAAAATTAAATATTATAAATCGATCGTTGTCAAATCATAATTTATTTATAAAATTATGAGTTTTAAATCACTTAATTTTTAAATAATAATAATATTTTTTTTTGTGATGAATTGAAATATACTATTTCTATTTTTTAAATACTCAATTTCCTTTTTTTGTTTTTTAATGATGCTCTGAAAATATTTGCTTTTTTTTTTTTATAATTTTTGCATTAATCTAATTGGTTTGTGTGAAAAGCACATGGTTACGCAACTCTCATCTTAGTTAATTAACTTAAATTAAACGTATTAATCATTAATATAAAATTTTGAAAAGGATTCTATTTGAAGAAATTAGGCATGTTGAATGAACATTCTTCTTCTCTAACAACCCACAATTTCTAGTCACTGAAACTTGATGTAAGCTTAAAAAATCATGAGCTTAATGCATGAAGTACGGTTTGATTTGACCTTTTAAGGATGATAGAATAAGTATTCTAGTCGCTTCATTTTTATTTAAAAATTGAATAATAATATTCAACGAGTGATATTTTATTCCTATTTCACTAATTAAATGATAAATATATATATATATATGTATTTTAAATATCATATAATCTTATAATAAAGTCATACCAAAATATAAAGTTTAATTCAATTCTATAATCTCCCATAAAAGAAAATTAGTACCAACCATCTAATTACTTAACTCAACAATTATGGTTTATATTATTAGGAGATGAATTTTTTTTATCATTGGTATGAAAATTATTAAAATATACGAATATTTTTCAAAAAATTGTAGGAAAGAAATTTCACATTTATTACACACAAAAAAAGCTTACTATATAATATAGAATTCATTTTATTTTTATTAAGATTAATGAACTTATAGATAGAATATTAAATATTAAACAGTAAAATAGTACGTTTGCAGTGAATGCGTACGTATATATATATATATATAGATCAGAAATTGGTCATAGAAACGATGACGCGTGAGAGATTGAATTTTCAAAGTCTTTGTTTGATTACATAAATTTTGGATCTTATTCTGTTTGAACTTCTTTTCAATCTGCCAACATTATTAATAACCATAATACTTTTCTTTGGACAAAATTGTTGAATCAACTCCACATTTCTTTTCTATATTTTCTTTAGTTTTTTAGCAGAATAATTTCTTTGAAAAAAATAAGTAATTTATATGGTGTATTACAATAAAAATAATTTAAAATAAAATGATGAAACGGGGTCGTTTTTTCATAGTGATGAGGTCAGTGATCTTCCATTCAAAGATTTATTCTTAGACATTTAAAAAGACCGAGTATTATGACCAAATGGGTAAATGACCAAGCTGAAATTCAACATTTACACACATGAGAAGCTCCAACTAAACATCCTAAACTTTAGACATGAAGTATTGTCAGGCAGCAATGAAGCTTAGAAACAATATAACAATTAGTTTAGAGGAAAGGAGATTCCATACGAAAGAGTTCCCATCAGCTAGCCAACACTGTTGCACATTGAAGGTCAATGCAAAGCAGTTAATTCAACCAAATCTTTGTATTTATCAGAGACGAAAGATTTAACCTTCAAGTTGGGTTTCCCAGCAGCCTTTGATGTTGTCGGAGATTCATATTTTATCCCGATAACTGTCGCTAAACCTATAACAAGACATAATCCAACCAAATCAGTTGTAATAGCACTGATAGTGGAAACAGAATTAAGACAGTTTACTTAATGTTATTAGTTAAATTAACGATCTGAAGAACAAAAACCAATTATTATTCTTACAGAAGTATCCATGTGGCTTACAGCAATAGAATATAAATTGCCAGAAATAGATAATGTTCCTCTGAGTAATTGGTTTCTACAAAAACTAATATTATATTTCCCTGACAGGGATCTTCCTCAAAGAAAATCCCAGAAATATTTTTGCTTGCGTTTTGCAAATATCTCATTTAATAAGATACCAATTATCAACAAAAAGCACGGGAAGACTCTCCACTTCAGATAAGGTATCTGAGCAAAATTTAAAATTTAGAGACCGAACTCGCATTCCTATGAACTCCATGCATTGCCATGATACTACATATTCTTTACATTTAAAACAAATTGTAGAATGTACTTACTTTCATGTATGCGCCCATATAAGAATCTTTCACCTTTCCAGTACTCTAAAGGTCTTGACCTAATTCTGGTGCTTCGCCTCACACCGGATTCCCAAGAGGTACCAGCACCTGCAACAACATAGATATACTCTTTTTTTCACTAAACATATATCTATGTATTTTTAACATATTTTTTAAAGGATAAAGAGGTAATTTCAATTATTTTGCGCAAGGAAAGCACCTGCAAGACTTTGCCTCCGGGATAAAGCTTTACTCTCACGAGTCTTGCTGGGTCTTGAAACCCATTTGTTTTGCTCGTTCTCAACTTTCTATTGAACAAGAAAAAAAAAATTAGTTTATATAATTGTGAGAAAATTCAAAAATAAGAAAAAGAAAGGCACAAGTAGCACAGTTATGCAGAAGCTCCACAAGGAACATGGTTTGAAGAACAAAATAACTCAATAGGATAAAATAGAGATCTAGACATCAAACAAGTCGTAGTTAACCTGCCTGGAGGTTACCAACTTACAGTGGCAGCAAGAACTCAGGGTAGAACCACGGATGAGATGCCTAGACAATTAATTTACAAAAATGGGACCCTTTCTTTTGTAAGGGACAGAAGAATCTGACATCCTTAGTTCTGTTGGCTATTCTATGGGTTATAGAAGGGCTTCTACACTTTTTTATCATCCTCAACCACCCAGCAGTTCAGATACGTGTTGTTGCAATTACTAGATAGATTTAAGCATGTGGAATGAAGTTAGAAAGGGATAGGTGAGATGGCATTATACTTGGAAATACTGAACATCAGTGCTTTTATTTGCAAGATAAAATGTATTTGGTAATTCAAGATGGCTAACCATAAAATGAGTTGCAAATATCTTACTGCCTAGTAGATTAAGTTACCAAATGAAAAAAAAAAACGAAATTCTATGGTTGAAACAAGATCTTCATTCTATGGGACAGCAAGCAATTCTCAGTGGCAGACAAAAAAAAAGTACTGTAATGCATAAATTATAGACATCAAGCACCCAACTAGAGTAAAAAATAAACAAGGAAATAATCTAGGTTGGGCAATAACCTCATTCTGCTGTTCTAGACCTTCGTATGTAGTGTTAGAGGCTTCATCCCTTGCAGACTCTTCAACTGCAGAAGGTTCTGATTGATCTGTTGGAGACATTAGTGCACAATGAAAAAATTAACATTATCAACTTAAAATCATCTAAAGAGCATATGTGACAGAGAAAGAAAAGTTTAATTCTTGATACCATGATTTAAAGGCCTTTTGAAACAATTTTAGCCAAGATTTAAATAAATTCCAATTAATGCTAGGAATTTTAAAAGAAAATCAGATTTGAGAGTTTATTTTAGACATCACTTCATGATATTAAGCAGAACCTATCTCAGGCAAAATAATCATGAACGATAATTCCCTAGCAAGTTTTTCACTTGAGTCTTACCCATCTGACTCGGAATATGATTTGACTCCCCTACAATTGAATCTTCTATACCAAGATCAGGCTCTGCAGGGCCCACTGCTTCCTCTAGCATATCATCCCCCTGTAATTTGAGAGAATACCTCACGGCACAATATTCAGAATGCAAACCTTCATAACATTGCAGAAAATAATGTAAACAAGCAACACTAACCATGTCACCTAATTCATTTGGTTCAACTGTGCAGACATCTATATCATCAGGTCTACTCAAGTTACCATTGATGATTGTGTCATCCATACAACTGCTTCCATCATTGCCCTCACCAGAATGATATCCACTTGAACCAACATGAACCCCTGTGGATTTGTCGGATGGGCCAGACATATCTCTAGTCACCACATCAGAGGAAATAGCATCAGCAATAGCAGTGTCATTTTCTTCAACCACTGGAGACTTCATTTTGCAAGAAATGAATAAATCCTTTCCTGCATCAACCTGATCAGATTGTTTGCTAACTTTTGCAACAGGAGAAGCATTTTTTGCTGGTGACTGATCCACATCCAAAGCTGAAAATGGATCATTTGTGGGAGTTGACTGCAAAATGCGCTTCTTCAAGAGTGGAATTGAAGCCAATACACTCTTTGGTGGAGTTGGAGAAGCTAGAGAGTAAGCAGAACTTTCTGCCTGCCTTTTCTTTCCAGGTGTTCTGCTGCTGATCTCTTTTATCAAGTTATGTATATCTGGTAAGCATGCAGTGTCATTTTCTCCAACCACTGGAGACTTCATTTTGCAAGAAATGAATAAATCCTTTCCTGCATCAACCTGATCAGATTGTTTGCTAACTTTTGCAACAGGAGAAGCATTTTTTGCTGGTGACTGATCCACATCCAAAGCTGAAAATGGATCATTTGTGGGAGTTGACTGCACAATGCGCTTCTTCAAGAGTGGAATTGAAGCCAATACACTCTGTGGTGGAGTTGGAGAAGCTAGAGAGTAAGCAGAACTTTCTGCCTGCCTTTTCTTTCCAGGTGTTCTGCTGCTGATCTCTTTTATCAAGTTATGTATATCTGGTAAGCATGCAGTGTCATTTTCTCCAACCATTGGAGACTTCATTTTGCAAGAAATGAATAAATCCTTTCCTGCATCAACCTGATCAGATTGTCTGCTAACTTTTGCAACAGGAGAAGCATTTTTTGCTGGTGACTGATCCACATCCAAAGCTGAAAATGGATCATTTGTGGGAGTTGACTGCAAAATGCGCTTCTTCAAGAGTGGAATTGAAGCCAATACACTCTTTGGTGGAGTTGGAGAAGCTCGAGAGTAAGCAGAACTTTCTGCCTGCCTTTTCTTTCCAGGTGTTCTGCTGCTGATCTCTTTTATCAAGTTATGTATATCTGGTAAGACATGCCTAGGCTTTGGCAAGTTAGCTACTGAAGCATTAAAATCAATCCTTGGAACATCTTGTAAGTCAGGGAGGCTTAATTTCTCTAACTCAATGGGTTTGATTTGCAGGTACTCCTGTAAAATATTGACTGCACCATCACCATCGAGCTCTTCGTAACTACCAGCAAGCAATTCATCCAAAAGTTCGTTAACCCTCTTCTCTGTCTTGGCTACTGAACCTGTTCAGAGTAATAAGTGAAACTATCAGATTTTTCCAAGTAGGGTAGGGAAAAGAAGCTAGAGAAGCTAACAAAAAATAAGAAGATAATCCAGTTGAATTGTTGAGAGAGAGAGAGAGAGAGATGAAGGGAAAGAAGAAATAACTAAAATTATTCATCAATAAACCATTTTCCTCCAATAGAATCTCTCTTACCACCTAATTCTCTTTCTTGTGATGTAACATTTGCATTGGTTGTTTCTTGTTGCAAGCTGTTACCAGATGGACTGAGAGTCTCCTCTTCAACAATATCTTGAGATGGTGCGTCAGTTGAATAACGATGCTTGTACTTAACTGATCTCTTCCTAGGGTTTGGAACCATAAATTACATTTTATATAAGACCAAAAAAGCCATAAAATAAAGATTGCTATGAAAAGGATATTGTTGGCACCCAAAAATTCCTGGTCGACGGGGTCGTGTTATTTGACTGTTCTGATCTTTTTCTGTCAAAATACCTCCTGTCTGTTTCTGCCATTCCCGTTGGGCATCTATACACACAACCAAGAAACAGGAAAAAGAAAATGTTAACCAACATACACTGTTACAAACTAGTTCTTAAATATCAGAATAAGCAACTTACTCTCAAACTTTTCATATGCCAAGAAGAATTCCTCTGGATCTTTCAGTTTACCAATGTCCAAACTTGGTTCTAAACTCACAATAGGCTGACTGTCAGTAGAAGATGGAAGACTGTTCAGCTGATACTTAGTAATCATAAAATGTACATTTTAGAGGAAAAAGAAAGATTTATTGAAACAGATGTCAGCAACAAGCTTTACCTTATATTAGGCTTTAGAGAAAACCGAGCCCGCTTACGGTCTAACCCTGGTCTTCTTTCTTGTGGATTTTCAACCACCTTACCTGCAAAATCTTCATTTTTGTCTAACGCTATGTTGTTAGGCATTTCAGAGTTCACAAGCTCTGAACTACTATCCACAATGGCCTTTGCCTGCTCTAGAAGCTTACTTGGACTTGTTAAGGGCTGAAAGAACACCAAAAATTAGTTAAGAACATGTTTTGTAACTAAAAAAAATAAAGAAACCTGGTTTTGTAGGAAAAAAGGCAAATGTAAAGCCCTGAAGTAAACTTACTTTTACTCAATACTTAGGATTACAGATATTTTCTCCCAGTAACAGTACCCATTTTTGGGCATTGAAAACAGTCAACTTTGTAAAGAAAAATGTTACAAAAGTTAAATCCTAGTAAGAGCTTTAGAAAGAGTATGGTTTTCTGCTTTTGGTGAGAAAAATACCAGAAGGTTTAATCAATTCTGAGCTGCTTTATTGATGAAGTGCGATGCCTTTAAATAGGGCATGATACAACTTAAAGATAAGAACTAAAGATACAAGCAAATCAAAAACAAATACTGATAACTTGAAATCTGGAAGTGGAGAGCAGCTCGGCCAAGATTTTGTTTGACCTCTTCTGTTGGGGTTTGTTGCAGAACATGTACAAAATGTGCTGAAGTGAAGCACCGATAAAAGGTGCAGAAGAGTCTTCCTTGATCTCCGGCTAATCCAGGTATCTTGGGTTTTCTTTGGGGATGTAGAATTTGGAGAAAAAATATAATTTTTATTCTCATTCTTTAGTTTGTAACACCCGAATATTTATAAAATTCTTAAACTATTAATTGAAAAATAACTATTCTATTAGAATCCAAATTATCTAAGATTACTATTCTAATAGAAATCTAATTACATAATACCAACTAATAACTAAAATATTTAAATAATAAATTATACTACTCAACACCCCCCCAAGTTGGTGCAAGGATATATCTCATGTCCAACTTGCAGATTAGGTTCTAAAGAGTCATTCTGCAATTTACCAGTGTCAATCTTCTTTCTCGTTCGAAGATTCTGATTTACTAGATTTGTTGCACCTATACTTGATGAAGATTGAGATAGAATACGTTTCAAGCCTTGAATCTCCTCATTTGAAAAATCTCCAACTGTCGGTGTGTCGAGTGTTTCACTTTTCTCAAATAAATTTTCTTGAGCTCTCATAGGTCCACCATCATTTCTCTCACTACCTCTAGTGAGCTTTCCATGCAACTTCTAACAAGTCTCTCTTGTGTGTTTTGGCTTACCACAATAACCACATCTCCCTAGATCCTTGTATTGTTTAGACTGAGCAATTAATTCGGTTTTCTCAACTGGTACTATATAAAGCATGACATTCTTTCTACTTTCTTCTTATTAGACATAGGCATAAGTTTGTTCCAATGAAGGAAAGGGATCTTTACCAAGCATCTGAATCCGTATTTGATCATATTCGGTGTTCAAACCAACTAAAAAATCATAAATTCGCTCTTTTTCTATCAATTTCTGAAATTTGACTACATCTGCAGAATAATCTGCTTGAATATCTTGATAGTATTCTAATTCTTGACATAATCTACTCAATTTAGAAAAATATTATAAAATAATCATCTCTCCTTACTTTGTGTCATGAATTTTATTGCGAAGTTCATAAACTTGGATATCATTACCCACTTGTGAAATTGTAAGAGATATCGCATTCCATATTCTTCCTGCAATATCGAGTAACAAATATGTTTGTGCAATATATGGTTGCATGGAATTGATTAGCCAAGACATTATCAAAAAATTTTCAGAGTCTCATCTATTATATTCCACATCACCTATTTCTGATTTCTTCATATCACTTGTGATGTATTTATGCAATTCTCTAACCTTGATAAACAATAAACAGGACATTGACTACCAAGATAATTAGTTCCATCAAATTTTATGGGATTAATTTGCAATGAGAGGTTATCCGAATAAGAAACCATCACCTTTTTTGCTTCTGTCATTTTAGAATGCTAAAGATAAAAAGAAAAATACCCAATAATAAAAACAGATATCGTAATTTGCACCTAAGTAGCCAAAAAGGACAGAAAATATTAAAATCATATATGTCTGGATCGGCTCGGCTCGAGCTGAATCGCTTCAATGGCTCAGATCGGCTCAATGCAGCTGCCAAGAAAAACTCTCTGCGCACAGCTCTATGTGCGGCGAAGGAGAAAACTTGTGCCCAGTAGAAGGTCAGTAGGTCGCGGCCAAAAGCTTCGTACAATCAGGGTGAGGCAGATCGTGCGTCTCTGCGCGTGGAGGAAGAAGAAACCAGAGGTTGTCGCGCGGCTCTGCATGCAATTGAAGAAGAAGGAAACCTCAATGCCCTACGCGGCTTTGCGCGCAGCTGAAGAGGGAATTGGGTTGCGTGTCTCTGCGTATAGCTGAAGAAGAAGAAAACTAAGAGCGTCTTCACGTCTCTGTGCGCGGTGGAAGAAGGAACTGGGCCGCGCGGCTCTGTGCGCAGTGGAGGAATCAATCGGGTCGCCCTTTGTGCGCGGTGGAGGAAGGATCCGACTGCCTTCTCCCTTCCTTTGATCTTTCCTCTCTTCCCCTTGGTCTAACTCTCTTTCTCCTCAACTTCCTTTTGTTGTTTTAGAGTTTTAAAGAAACTCTAAAAATAAAATCCCAAAATACTTTTATTATGCTCTGATACCATTTAGAATTTGGAGAAAAAATATAATTTTTATTCTCACCCTATAGATTGTAATATCTGAATATTTATAGAATTCTTAAATTATTAATTAGAAAATAACTATTCTATTAAAATCCTAATTTCATAAGATTACTATTCTAATAGAATTCTAATTATATAATACAAACTAATAACTAAAATACTTAAATAATAAATTATACTACTCAACAGGGGATCCTCTATGATCTTCGGATCTTATCATCAACTCTCCCATTTTGAGCAACCTTGTCCTTAAGGTTGGGAAATTGGTCAGTCATGTGCTCGGTTATTTCCCATGTTGCTTATTTGGTTGGTAGATGCTTCCACTTAACAAAGCTTTTTTCAATGATTTTGCCACCCCTTTTAATCCAGCAAGTATCGAGTATGGCTTGTGGTTGGAGGATGATGTTACCTTCTTTTGTAGTGGCTAATAGGTCCTTGGTATGAAAGGTTGAGTCACAAATTTTCTTTTTAAGCAAAGAGATGTGGAAGACAAGATGAATATGTGACCAGATTGGCAGTTTCAGCTTATAAGCTACTGGACTGATCTTCTGTTCGACCATATATGGACCATAGAAGTGGCATACAAGTTTTTAAAGTGCCCATTGGAATACTGTCTATCATCGGTAAGGTTATAGCTTGAGGAAGACCCAATCACCAACTTGAAAATCAATATGTCGTCCTTTTGTGTTGGTGGTTTGCTGCATGCGGTGGTTAGCAGCTTGTAGGTTCACTTTGAGTTGTGCAAACAGTTCATTTCTATTTGTCAATTATTGGTCAACTTCATTTACTGTTGTCATACCCTTTTGATTGTATGGAATGGTAGGTGGTGGTCGTCCATACAAAACTTGAAATGGGGTCATCCCAATAGAAATGTAGTAGGTGGTGTTGTGCCAGAATTCTGCCCATAGAAGCATAGAGTACCACTTGTTTGACCGTTGATGAGCTAAACATCACAGATATTTCTCTACACATATGTTGACGACTTCGGATTGTCTGTCTGTTTGGGGATGGTATGCAAACCTCATTTTCAACTGTGTACCTGACATCTTAAAGAATTCGTTTTAGAAGTTGCTTATAAAGATGGAATCTCGGTCATTGACTAGGAAACGTGGCATACCATATAACTTGACCACCCCATCGATGAACCTCTTTGCGATTGCCTTTGCTATAAACGGATGTGTTAGGGTCAAGAAGTGAGCATACTTACTTAAGCGGTCGACGACTACTAGTATAGTGTTTTTGCCGTTTGAGGATGATAATCTCTCAATGAAGTCCATGGTGATGTCATCTCATACTTGATAGGGGATAGGTAGTGGTTGTAGCAGACCAGCCGGAGATAGGGTTTCTGACTTGGCTCTTTAACACGTTTCACAGGCTGATACGTACTCATGCATTGTCTTTCTCATTGAAGACCAGTAGAACTGTTGTGCAAGTTTTTTGTAGATTCGTTATACCCCGGAGTGGCCTGCTAGGGGAGAGTCGTGATAAGTTTGTAAAAGTTGTTGAACCAAATCGGACTTGGGAAGAATAACCACTCGATACTTGTAATAGATCAATCAATTCTTTAGGGTGTAAAGTTGCCTGACTGTTTGTCAGCAAAGGTACTTATTTTCTGCATATAGGTGTGTCTTTGTATTTCCTGCTTAATGTCATCCCCTAGTTGAGTCTGTTAAACAAAAAAGCATCTAAGGTGGGCCTTGTAGCTTGGTGGGATAAAGCATCTACGGCTGTATTTTCTTTTCCAAGCTTATAAGTAATCTCATAATCATACCCAAACAACTTGGAGACTCATTTGGATGAAGAATTTCCAGCCCATAAGTTATGGTTGCCAAGTCTGGACTGCAATTATTACTACCAACATTTCTTTTGCTAAGGTTGACCATGATTGTTTGGATACTCCTAGGGCTCGACTGAGGTAGGCTACTGGTTTGCCTTGTTAGGTGAGAACTGCTCCTATTCCTTCACCCGATGCTTTTGTCTGAATGGTGAAGGGTTCATTGAAGTTTGAGAGAGCTAAGGTTGGAGTGGATGTCATGACTTGCTTCAATTTAGTGAAGGCTTCTTCGGTAGCTGGATTCCATTCAAGTTGTCCTTTCTTGAGTAATTGGGTCAATGGTCGGGCTATCAGTCTATAGTTATGCACAAATTTTCTGTAGTAGCCTATCAAATCTGGGAACTCTCTTAATTCTGTAATTGTGTTGAGCTTGGGCCAATCAGTCATTGCCTGAATTTTATTTTGATCCACCTTGACTCATTGGGGTGTGATAATATGTCCGAGGTACTCAAGTGCTTACTGTCCAAATACACTTTTTGAGTTTGACAAAGACCCTGTGCTAATTCAAAATTTCAAACACTTGTCTAACATGGGTTAAGTGAGAGTGTCAATTAGGATTGTAGACTAATATGTCATCAAAAAACACCAACACAAACTTACGTAGATAAGGACTGAAAATTGAGTTCATAACTGCTTCGAATGTAGAACATGCATTGCATAAAACAAAAGGCATTACCATATATTTATAATGGTCATTGTGTGTCTGGAAAACTGTTTTGTGGATGTCCGAGGGATGTACTTAAATTTGGTGATACCTGGTTGTTAAGTCCAACTTGATGAAATAAGTTACCCCATATAACTCGTCTAACATGTCATCTACAGTGGGAATAGGGAACTGGTCTTTGATGGTGACTGCATTGAGGGCCCGATAGTCAGTACGAAAGTGTCAGATGCCATCTTTCTTCTTGACTAGTAAAACTGGTGATGAGAACAAGCTGGTGTTGGGCCGAATGAGACCAGAATGGAGTATCTCTGTCACCTGTTTTTCAATCTTAGCATTTTGAAAATATGCATACCAGTATGGGTGGACATTGACCAGCACAGTTCCCTCCTTCAGGTTGATCTGGTGATCGACTTCTCCGGCGAACAGCAGCTAATCAAGGTCTCGGAAAAGCTCCGAAAATTCAGCCAGGAGCTACTGTATTTATGGCCTGGCGGCAGCTGTGTCTCCTTTAACTCCAAGCAGCAAGCAAACAGCATATAAGGAGTGCTTATTTGCAGCATCTTTGTCAATCTCCCCTGGTGTAATTGGCCGAATGGGCAGCGCGTCCAAGCCGCGTAACTGCCGCCACTGATTGAGCCACTGGAAGTCCATGGTCATTTCCTTCCAATCACATGCCACAAGGCTGAGGGATTCTAACCAATGCACTCCCAAAACGACATCGAGACCCATTAGTGGTAAGGAAAAGAGAGTGAAGGAAAAAGAGATAACTTGGACTCGCATCGGTACACCGTCAAATCGCCCCTGTGACCGCATGGGTCGTCCATTTGCCACCTTGACAGAGAACAGTTCAGTGGGCATTACGGGAAGCTGAAGCCGACAGGCCACCTTTTCTTTGATAAAATTGTGTGTTAACCCGCTATCGATGAACACAATCACCTGCTGTTGTCAGATCGTGGTCACGACTCTTATGGTGTGAGCAGCAGCCCAACCAGTGAGGGCGTGTAGCGATATCTCAGGTTCGCTAGTTTCGGCTTCTTCTTCTTCGGCTCGCCCGCCATCAAGCAAGAGGAGTTGGGGTTTTCAGCACCGATGGCTCGTCGTGAAGCATTCATCATAGTTGAAGGCCAGGTCTTGGGTTCACCGACGCTGAATCTCTTCTTAGGAGAGGCGCCTTGGAGCGGCTGCGAACGGAATTAGGGCACGCGGGGCCTGATCAGGCAAAGTCGAGGCGGGTTGGACGGGTTGGGTCCGCCTGGATCGAGTCAGCCTGTTTTGCCAGCCCACTTGTTCTTCTCTCACTCGAGCTAGCCCAATTGCGCCCTTCAACGTCCTGGGCTGAAACATGCGGATGTTGTCCGCGATCTCGAGCTTGAGCCCACAACAAAAGCCCCCACTAAGGCTCATTGTGTCCACCCATGGACCCTATTGCCCAAGCGCTTGAATTCCCTTTGGTAATTGCGCAAGGGCCCGATCTATTTGATGCGAGTTAGGGCCTTGTCCGGGTCTTCAAAATCGGTCGGCCCAAATCTAGCCCCTAGCTCGTCCACGAAACCTCTCTTCCTTCTTCTCTGTAAGTGCAGCTCATCCATTGTCACCACAGGTTGGCTTCTCTTTCCAGGTGGTAGGATGCCAAGGTCACCTGATACTGAGCAGCAGTGCCTTGGAAGTCGAAGTTCTGGCCGACTCGACTCAGTCATTCGGTCGGATCTCCTCCGGCGAAGGTATGGAAATCTAATTTGGGTGATTTGTGGAAGAATGGGGCCCGCCAGATGTCATCGATGGCGGTCTCATCTCGAGCGAGGCACGACGGGTTGAGGCGAGGTGCCAGGTTACTGTTAACGCCTTCTTGAAGGAACATGACTGCGTTTGTCAATCGTTGGAGAGTTTCTTCGATCATGCGGAGCTTATCGGCAGTGCCCAGCTCCATTCGGCTGACATGTCTTGAAGGGCGCCGAGACCAACTTCAAGATTCTCAATGTGTTCTTTGTTGTAGGCCATTTCAGTAACTAGCTCTGATACCAATAATAGGTCCTAGTCATAGCTTTAAAAAGGGTAAATGTTTTTTCTCCTTTTGGTGAGAAAAATACCATAAAGTCTAATCAATTCTGAGCTGCTTTATTGATGAAGTGCGATGCCTTTCAATAGGCACTGATACAACTTAAGGATAAGAACTAAAGATACAAGCAAAGCAAAAGAAATCAAAAGCAAATACTGATAACTGGAAATCTGGAAATGGAGAGCAGCTCGACCGAGGTTCTGTTTGACCTCTTCTGTTGGGATTTGTTGCAGGACATGGGCAAAATGTGCCGAAGTGAAGCACGTGCAAAAGGTGCAGAAGAGTCTTCCTTGATCTGAGGCTAATCCAGGTATCTTGGATTTTGTTTGGGGATCCTCTGTGATCTTTGGATCGGATCAATAAATATAAGATTTACAATTTTGTTATTGTATCCACATCAAAAATTGAAAAAAAAATATCAAACGATAACTTTATAAAGCTTCCCAGAGATGCAGTAACTCAAATCTTCATGATTCTGGCAACCAAGAGTACATAAATTCATTTAAGCATAACCATCAGTTTCCATAAATGCCAAACAAGAGAAAGACAATAACCTCATTCTCTGAATTTTCTTAATACTTTTCTTTCTTGGATAATCTCAGCAAACAAACAAATTCAAGATACAACCTACAATCAAAAACTAAATAAGCAAAATGCTACTTATTTGAGGAAGTCCCATTTCCCCAGCAGCCCGGCTGAACAGAAAACAAAATAATCAAAATGACAACTAAATGTATATGCAATCTTATATGCTATTACTTTCCAGAAACAAACAACCAAATCCACTATCGCAATAATCAAAAGTTGTGATCAAAACTCTCCCCGTGGATTTTCATTGCAACCCCGCACACCCAGAAAATGGACCTTTTGAGGGTTTAAAAGCAAGCAGAATAAAGCCATGAATTGAAGGATACTGTAACAGTCTAATTCCTCATCAGTTGAATAGCATAGAGTAACAAAACAAAACAATAAGCATGTAACATACATATATGAACAGTTATAGTAGATATATGATATTTGTATGCAGATCGAGAAAAAACCAAAAGAAACCAATCAAAGCTCAATCAAGCACGTGCTTATTCTGCTCAAACCCCACGAAAACAAAACCACTACCAAATTTTCCAAAATCCGACTCAATTGCCCTCATCAGATCTCCCTGGCAATTAACCAAACCCCATAATCTGACAATGAAATTAATAATTTCACTCGCATGTATATGTATAAAACTTATGAGAGCGTGTCTGTGCTGTGAATAAAAGGGGAAGGGGTTAGAAACGTACCATAGATTTGAGGAAATTGTGAGTGTGTTGAAGATCATCGGGCTCGTAGGGTCGAGGAGGGTTTGGCACAAAGTTGAATGTCCGAGGAAATAGCGAGAGACCAGAATAGCCCTCTAGTGGATCCTCCAGTTCAGAGCTTCGGCTTCGGTCCGCCATGGAACAGGGTGTGGAGCTTGAATGGAGAACTACTGGCTAGAGAGAAGTGTGTGAGAGAGATGATATTGTAATTCGAAAAGGAAGACCGCGCCGGCATGGAATGGTTGTTCGGGTTAATGGGCTAATTTTATGCAAATATGTCCTTCAATTTTGGGGAACTGAATATACATACATCCTTCATTCTTAATTCTTTTTTCCTGTGCGGCCCAACTTTTATTTAAAATTAAGAAAGTTTTATTTTCTAATGCTTCTTTACTTTATTTTTTATATACCCAATTTATTTATAAAAAAAAATATAAACTAAATTTAAAAGAAAATTTAACATAAATTTCAAATAAGAATGTTAATGTGATAGAATGATATAGCGTAAACTAAGCCTACATTTGGAATAATATTAAAATTTATATAAATTTCAAATTTATCATCATTTTATAGGTAAAAAATATTTACAAATGAATCTCAAATAAATTTAAAATTTGTTAACAAACTTTTCAAATAAAAATATTAATATAAAATAGTATAAAATTTATATAAATATTATTGAATTTGAAGTGTTAATTTAAGATAATATAAAGTTAATTTTACACTAAAATATACATATAATATAAATAGGGGTGAATTTTATTTTTAAGAGTTAGTACTATTTAGTCAATATTAGACCGGTAAATTTAATTTGGACTTAATCGAATAATATTTAGTTCGGTCTATATTTTAAAAATTTGCAGTTGAAATTTATAATGTAGTTCGATTTAAATTTAGTTTGATGTAGTCGAATTAGTCTATTTTAAAATATTAAAATTATAAATATAAAAAATTAAAATCTAAATTTTTTTTGTTAATTATAGATTTGTTAATTTATTATTAGGATATATATATATGTATATGGATTTTATTAGTTTACGTATCATTTTTTTAACTTAATTTTAATAATTATATATTAGAAGAATTTTTAACATTTAAATTTTGTTAGTCCGTCCGGACAAAAAATCTTCTCTCTCTAGACTAATGTAAAGAAAAAAAAAAACTTAGCAGGAGGAAAAACACGAAGGCGTGAACGGCAGGATTCGAACCTGCGCGGGCAGAGCCCACATGATTTCTAGTCATGCCCGATAACCACTCCGGCACGTCCACACTTGTGTTAATGGCAGCAAAAATTTTAATCGACTTAATGTTCAAGGAACCGCCTGCGGGGCCAACATAAGAGCCGAACAATTCCAGTGTAGTTGATCTAAAACTTTAATTACTTAAAAAAAGCAAAAGAAAACTTACTGAGAAAATTGTTCCTTCTCCTTCAAATCAAATTGTAAACCCTCCGTCAATTGAAGGAACTTGTAAATCCAAATTCTAAACAACTGAGGCAGCGGAAAGAACAGGTAAATCCCCCAATTTATTTATTTTCAATCTCTATGATTCTATTACTATTGTTGCTTCACATGCATGTCCTTAAATGGAAATGGAATTGGAGAAAGCAATAGTATAATGGGGCCATCAGCTGCTTCAGCTTGCTTTGGTAGTGCTAAAACTCACAACTAGATACAGAGAATTCGCTATTATGCGAGTTTAGTTCCTATTAATTCCTCCGCCATTACGATTCACTTTCTCTGCTCCAATATCGAATGTTATGTTTTTTTTTAAGTAAGCAAAAAGCTTCCCTGAATTTTTGTGACGAATGGGTAGTTTTGTTTTAGCCTATTGTTGATATTTCTAGGTGTTGGGTGTCTTTAAATCTTTTGTTATATTTACTATGCAGTAAATTCTTGACTCATAACAACAAGAGAGACTAGTAGCAATTGAAAATTTAAAAAAAAAAATGCTTTACGTTCTTTTGATCTCATTTACCATTTTTCCCCCATAAGCTTGTTTTTTATAACACTAATGCCTCTATGGACTTGGAATGGGTCTTGAATAGGATTTCTTCTGTCCATGATTCTTCATCAGAGAATGCCAATTAACAACCAAGAATTTGGCTTCTTTTTGCATATCATTCAATCGACCTTATTTAAGGTTATGACGCTTCATATTTTATTTTGCTCCTTGTAATATGCCTTGTTGTAGTCTCATATATTTTTTTAAATAAAATATTTATTGTAGTCTCATATTATTACATTACAAGTTTGCAATAGGAGGTATCTGTAAATGAGTTTATTTAAATTCCATTTCATGTTAATCAGAACAGTATATTCTGGATGGTGATTCATCCATCCTCGAAATAGGTCTTGGGTAAAAGTCTTGAATTTCCTGAGACTTTTGACATGTCTGATTCAAAGACTAGCCCAGGTAGTGGTGCTAATAAGACCCAGAAGCGAAATCTTCCATCATG